ATTATTTAACATATAAAAAAGTTCAATAATCAACTAGATAATCAACGACTAAATAATCAACAAACGATATCCCAGTAAAACTTTAAACTTCTAGGTACTGCAGCACCTCCGGTCGAATTTGCCGAATTGTTTCCCCGGCAACTCTACTATAACAAATACAAAGAAAGGAAATAATGAACAAGAATTGAAATTAGTACATTTTTAGATAATTTCTCAACTGACTATTGTGTTAAGTCAGTGCTTTTTGTTTTAAATTACCGTTTTTGTCTCAGCTTTTTAAAGCGAAGCATAACTTAACTAAGGGAATCATACGGATTTGTCACGATTGCAATAAAAACGGCAAAAATTTCTTACTTATAACGGTATTTTCTTTATTTTAACTCAATTTATGGTGACTACTTCCTTTCAAAGAAAGACGTAGCTGCTACCGTTCAACAACACTTTATTCATTTATCGTGCTGAACTACTTTAGCTTAGGTTTTCTTGATCATAAAGAAAACGCGCTTATTCAGAAAAACGATTCTTTTGTCATAGGCTTATCTCTATTAAAACGAGACCTAAAATCATTTAAAATTTGGATCCTAGGTTTTTTTGGGTTTTTCTTAAACTTGACAACGGTTAAATTGTGTCAGCCTGATATTCTCGCGCCGTGTTACTGTTCTTTGTTACCCGTACTGGGATCCCTTGTACCGGCATAGTTTATTCTTACACATAAAATGTCTTTGAATTGAGAGCCCGAACATTTCTAAGTTATAAACAAAGAATACTCGTTTGCCGTTTTCCTTGGGTTAATAGTCGATGAGGACAGGGTAGAACTCAGTGTTTTGTTGACTATGGAATTCAAATGAGAGTTGAGCTGAGATGTGAAGATTGTGGAGTGTATGTAAAGCACTTGTTTGCACGTTCGTGGTTTAAACTGTGGGCAACTGGACTCCCAACTCTACATAATTTAAATATAGATCATAATCACATCTACAGTCTAATGCTCTAACTAATCTCTATGCAGAGCAAAATAATACTATGCATGCTCCGAAGAGTGGCACGTGTTTAAGCCCTAAGGTCTAAGAAGCTCATTATTTATTTATTTGCTTTTTGGCAGAACCTGATTACACTGCTTTTAAAATCTTTTATGGGTTGAACACTATAGTTAGGGGCATGAATCAATAAGAGTCTTGTGTAGAATATACTTGTAGAAAATTTATTCAAAATGACTGCCAGTGAGGTTTTTCAGAAGTCTGGGGTGTCACAGCACTACCAACTCAGGATCAATTTTACTCTGATAAGCAAGATCTGTGATCGATTAGTTTCACTTGTCTGTGCTGCGGCCTCGTTCACTATTTATCCTTCTTAGTGAGATCGTTTCAAAAGAAAGAAATTCGAATCATATTTTTGAGCCATGTCCAGCACTGGCCATGAAATCCAGAGTTTCTTCACTTCTTACTTAGTTCTACACTTCTCAGAGGTGTGGAAGTGTGGAAAAGTCCGACAAAGTAAGGATATTGTCGCACTTTTCCCCCACTCATGAACCCTTTGTCATTCTTTACTTAGTTCCACACTTCTCAGAGGTGTGGAAGTGTGGAAAAGTCCGACAAAGTAAGGATATTGTCGCACTTTCCCCCCTGTTAAGAACCCCTTGTCATTCTTTACTTAGTTTCACACTTCTCGGAGGTGTGGAAGGGTAGAATAGTGTGACAAGTTGAGTTTAATGTTGCTCTTTCCCTGAGTCACGAGAAGCTCAGTGCGCTTTATGAGCACTTGGTTTTATTTCTGTATGGTTTTTTACATTTTTCCTTTAGAACTATTTTTATTTTGAATAGCAGATATAACCATTGTTTCAATGCCAGCTGTTGAAAGAAACTTCAAGTTAAGAAATCCGATCTCCAACCAAGCTTTCATCCTTATCAGTACGGGTTCAAATTTGATAATTGTTAGATCACGCCATATATCCACTGTTTCGCAGTTTTTCCTCTTCTCTAAGGTTATGTAAATGCTGGACATAAATTATGAAAAAGAAGCAACACCACGCTCGGAGGCGAGCGGCTCGAGGCCAAGAAACATCGAAAAAGAATTCACCTAAGGGTGACTCTCTAAAGACGAAGAGGAGGGTGGACCATGCAAATATTTTAGTATTGTCACGTGCCGCAGAGATAACATAAATATTGCCAACCCTATAACACGCAAGTAAACAGTGATCCCCCTTTTCCGCAGAGAGATCTGCAGGTAGCTACTCTAGGCTGATAAGTCACAATTATTACTTTATACAGGATGCTGTATATTTTTAGACCAATTTAGGTCATGAACGTGATGAAGGAATAGAACAATAAGAATTGATTTGAGCATTTATAAACTTTATCAAGTTGATCTTAAAGCGAGGAAGATAGAACGCACATACTCTGCATTCTTTACTGCCTATTTTTAGCGTTGTCACGATCGTAAGAGACCTGACTGTTGTACCCAATTAAAAGTTCCCGGGGTTAAGGTTCTTTGTGTATTGTATTTGCGTTATAATGTGGCATTCACATTTAAATGATATAGAAATTCCTAAACCAAAACGTTTTATACCCAAAAGGTTTGAATTGGGTACGACATTGAGTCAGCCGAATAGATCTATAGGAAGGAGAAAAACCCAGAAAAAGACGTCTCATATATGGCACATAAAGATGAAAAATTTCAAACATAAAAATACATAGATGAGATGACGTTGTTGAGGTTTCCCTTGAAAAATAAATAAATAAACGAAGATAAAGGACTGACGGGGACTTCGTGACAGAGAAAACGTAGGCTTGTTTAATGGTCGGGTATTCAAACAGATGGCAGTGAAACAAGGCTAATATCTTCTAGTCATAGAATTGTTGTCTAAACTTAAAATAGCATTTAAAAAGATGTAAAACGAGTTGCAGTAATAAAACCAACAAATACTCCCATTGCGCTTTATTCTCATTTCATACATAGGAGTGTAACTAAGGAAAGAATGTCAAGGGATTCGCGACTGGGGGGAAAGTGCGACAATATCCTGACTCTGTCAGACTATTTCATACTTCCACACCTCTGAGAAGTGTAGAACTAAGTAAAGAATGACAGTGGTTTCGTATGACCAGGGGAAAGTGTGACATTATCCTGACTTTGTCAGACTTTTCCACACTTCCACACTTCTGAGAAGTGCAGAACTAAGTAGAGAATGACAAGGGGTTCTTAACAGGGGGAAAAGTGCGACAATATCCTTACTCTGTCAGACTTTTCCACACTTCCACACCTCTGAGAAGTGTAGAACTAAGTAAAGAATGACAGTGGTTTCGTATGACCAGGGGAAAAGTGTGACATTATCCTGACTTTGTCAGACTTTTCCACACTTCCACACTTCTGAGAAGTGCAGAACTAAGTAGAGAATGACAAGGGGTTCTTAACAGGGGGAAAAGTGCGACAATATCCTTACTCTGTCAGACTTTTCCACACTTCCACACCTCTGAGAAGTGTGGAACTAAGTAAAGAATGACAGTGGTTTCGTATGACCAGGGGAAAAGTGTTACATTATCCTGACTTTGTCAGACTTTTCCACACTTCCACACCTCTGAGAAATGTAGAACTAAGTAAAGAATGACAAGGGGTTCTTAACAGGGGGAAAAGTGCGACAATATCCTTACTTTGTCAGACTTTTCGACACTTCCACACCTCTGGGAAGTGTGGAACTAAGTAAAGAATGACAAAGGGTTCATGACTGGGGGAAAGTGAGACAATATCCTTACTTTGTCAGACTTTTCCACACTTCCACACCTCTGGGAAGTGTAGAACTAAGTAAAGAATGACAAAGGGTTCATGACTGGGGGAAAGTGAGACAATATCCTTACTTTGTCAGACTTTTCCACACTTCCACACCTCTGAGAAGTGTAGCACTAAGTAAAGAATGACAAAGGGTTCATGACTGGGGGAAAGTGAGACAATATCCTTACTTTGTCAGACTTTTCGACACTTCCACACCTCTGGGAAGTGTGGAACTAAGTAAAGAATGACAAAGGGTTCATGACTGGGGGAAAGTGAGACAATATCCTTACTTTGTCGGACTTTTCCACACTTCCACACCTCTGAGAAGTGTGGAACTAAGTAAAGAATTACAAGGGGTTAGTGCCTGTGGGAAAAGTGCGACAATATCCTTACTTTGTCAGACTTTTCCACACTTCCACACCTCTGAGAAGTGTGGAACTAAGGATGAAAAAGGAAAGTAGGGATCTTGTGGCCAGCACTGGACATTTGTGATATTTTTGGGTCTTGATCAATCAAGCTACTCTTTACCATGCAGACATTCAGTGGCTGTTCTTCCCGTAGGAAGGATGCCTGGTTAAAATTCGCCAGTATAGTTGCTGCTAAGAATGTTGAGCTAGCTAAACACCTCTCTAACAGGAGCAATGATTCACTATGGGCCGCTAAGTACCTTTAATTTTTTTCTTAGGACTACTGAAGTGTTTAATGGACTGTCTTACTAATGAATATTAATTGCGTTCGACGTTAGGAGAAAGCAACTCATATCTCGGGAATACCTCGTATGAAATATGTGACGAGTTGCTCAGTTTGGGGTTTACCTAGCCACTGTGTTTCAGTTCATTTCACTGCAATGTTGGCGAGAAATTAATATTTATGACCATGATAGTGGTAATTATGATGCTGATTATCATGATTTGTGTACTATGTTTATTAAGCAAGGATCTTCATTCATTGACAACGGTATACTACTTAAATTACCATCATCAGTTAACACTCCATCTACCCAACCGTGAGGGACCCAGCGTTTCATCATTGTTTTTTTCATCTACCTGTTATTCCAGACATAAGCACTTCCCCCTCAAGACCTTCAACAATCAAGACAGCGACGTAGTTTCCACCTAACCTCTAAAACATTAACTTCAAACCCATGTGGTCTCACACGAACACCAAATGTTTTGAAGCTCTGGTTCCATTACATCCACAAATCAAATAAGCCGGACTCACCATGAACAATAAATTGACCTTTAACTAACTATGACAGGAAAATAGACATTTCGCTTCGAGTCAAGTCCTCCGTTCCTCGTTTTCAATCCATCGCTTGTTTCAGTAACAAATGTCTCATTTCCACCGGTGCGGTGAAGTCTTGGTAACTTTATCTCACGCCTTGTCATGTAAGCGTTCAACTTGTCCTGTGAAGGTTCAACGAACAAGGCCTCGCCTCGAGTAGGCAGCAGCCTAGCGTGATATGGCTTAAAAACGTCTTTGGTTGTAAAGAAAGTAGCCATTTGTTTGGCACTGTTTGGCTGTCCCTCCGAACAATCCCAGAATCCTAAGTTGTCCATGCACCCGCAGTAGGTGTGATAAGAACTAATTCGAACAAGAGGCAACCGTTTCTCTTTATGGATTTTTCTCTCGTCTCGATACTGAGCCAAATATTTTGAAATCGGCAATAAATCGAACTTCTTTCCATCGCGAAATCCCTTCGTTGCTTTATCCGTTGAGAGATTACTTTCCATGAATGGTGTTAACAAAGAACTTCCCAGTGGACTACCCTTGCACAGAATTGGACTTCTTCTCTGTGTTAAATACTCTGGAACCTTCTGGTTTTCGACCCAAGAGGCCTTAGTTTTTGCCATGCGCGATAAAATGTTCGTTCGTGGTGACTTGTCAGGTGAGCCATCTGAATTCGAGTGGACAGATCGGTTGTCTTCGACTGCGCATGTACTCGTGGATGTTACATAATCTTGACAGAGACTGACTTCTGGTCGAGTGTCGCTTGAGACCCACGTTGGCACATGCTCACTTTTGAATATATCAGTCTCTTTTATCCCAAGCTGCTCCAGTGTGGCGGACTTTGAACAAGTTGGTGGCATTTCGCAGATTTTGTTGCTATCGAAGGCAACTGTAACGGTTTTAATGTTAATCCTGTGGAATGCAAAGCGACATTAGTCATAAGCATGTGAATGCGCACAAATGCGTTTTCATGTCTTAGCGATAAAAAAATTGTGACCATTCGACTAGAGAACTAAAAGGCGATCAAGGCTGTCACTTAGAAAGCACTCAAGTAAACACCTTTATCCAAGCCAACAAAGTACACCAATCTCGTTTGCAGGGTTCTCTACTGGTAGAGAAACCTGGGAACGAGGTTACAAATTACACTTCCTTTTATAGGACCACCCAGTACAGGAGGATTCCGCTGACTGAACGCAGCTCGTTAAGTGTGACCAATTCAGGACTTAATTGAAGTGCCTATGAAGAAAACGTGATATGTGTCACTAATTTTATCGGCTGTTCCCGATTGCTGTGTGAAATGCAGGTGATATATTAAGCTTATGACGACATCCGCTGGTCCCCCCTTGAGAGCAAGAAACGTGTGCTTAAACTATAATTTATACATATTGAACAAACTAGTTCGCAAAGTTGCCACTGGTAATGATATGAACCGAAGTCTTCACATACATAAAGAGATATTTTGACATATCGCCCTCAAAAGCACGCTTAGAATAAAAAGGACGAGTTTTTGAAGACAATACACCTTTCAAAGAGAGAATTTAGTCAGCTGTGAACTTATCGAATATCGATGTAACTTTGGAGGTCACCTTAACAATATTATCGTATCATGATTGTTGTCTGCTAGTGGTAAACATAACAATATTCTCTCGAACCTCAACAGACTCAATCCATTGGCTGCAACGACAAGAACTACTATAACCACTTTAATTCGAGACCTATTGGAAAGTTGTAAACTTATTCTCTCGGCAACGAACGAACGGGAAATCTTTTGACGGCAAAGATTGAACTGCTAGTAATCTCTTTCTCAATATCAGAAATATTCCATGGTTGATTTCAATCATCCATGCAGGTCGTTGGTTGTCCATGCAAAAGAACATTCTAACTTTGAACACGGGTAGAGGCTACTCAACTTTGAAGGCTAAAGTAAGTTTATGGACAGACTTCATCAAAGAAAAGCCGAATCAATTGCTAGCATCTCACCTCTTTAAGTTCACTTGAGAAGTGCATGGCCTCCAGATGTCTTGTACATCTTGTAAGGTACATTCACGGTTCGCTTTGTGCGCCATACGAAATGTTAAGGAAAAAGACTGGGAGATGTGATTATTGACACGATGTCTGATGTGCGACATTCACGGCAACCAAGTGTTGCTGGGGTAACAATGCAAGCCATAGGGTGACTGTGAAGACAAATAAGCCTTCAATTGTGTGCAGGAATACAATTGTATTAACAAAAGTGAATTATTTGCATTTATGTTATTGGCTCGGAAAGGCCTTAATTAACTCTTAATAACAATTCAGCATCCGTTATTAAAATATTGAATAGATGTGAAGACTGTGGAGTACATGTAAAGCATTTGTTTGCACTTTCGTGCTTTAAACTGTGGGCAACTAGACTCCCCAACCCTAAATATTTCTTTTGAAACCGAAACGTCAATAGCGTAAATCATGTGGCGGCTTCGTCTATTAATAGGGACCTTAAGATCCGACGACGGCGACGGCAACGGGAACACCACAAAAGCAATAGGTTTAATTAGCAAAACAACAATTTTGCACGTGCATCACGCTTTTTTGTACATTTCTTTGCAGTCACTGCACGACTACGACGCCGTTGAAAATGACTAATTTCACGATGTACAGAGGAAGTATACAAGCGACGTCGAAATTTCCTCTCTCTTTCTGAACTTGGATATGGTTCTTAGGAATTCAACTTTAGGAGGGTTCGCCTACATTTGACAAAGTTAGTGACCTGGAGTAATCGCGATGAAGATTGAAAGAACGCGAATTCACTTTTTCAGCGAAGTTTTTTCTGCCGTCGCCGTCCTCGGATCTTAAGGTCCCTATTGTGGCAAAGTCAAACACTTCATTGAAATTCCCGTTATGATTGCATGCTTAATACTTTATGGATTAAGGACATAATTAAACAGCGAAATGCCGGTTATCGGACGAGCTGTGTACCTCACTATGAAAGACATTTAACGGATGCTACAGCGAAAACTTAATTACCTTCGAGAAAGCCCTTCTTTTAGAGCACCTACCATGGAAAATTCAGATTAACTGTTGCTTACCTTTTAATTGTGAATAAAGGGTGAAATAATGAATATGTGAATATCTTACATTAGAAATGCGGGATGAAAAATTAAATGTAAAGAGGATCTTAGCATTTGTAGGTGCACATCCTTTGCAATTGCAAAAAGAAAACCTGAAAAATTCAGGCTTATATGGGATTGGAACCCTTGACCTCTCATGCGATACCAGTCAGTGCTCTAACCAATGCAAGCGAGCCATAGTTAGAAAGGTGATAAACCAACTGGGGTTAACGTATAGTTTCTAAAGAAGCTGCGAGGGAATGTCGGAGTGAATCGATCTGACAAGCCAGAGCTCGAAACGTCAGCTGTGAATCTTTTAACCCTTTAGGCCCCAGTATCCAAACTATTCTCATATATTTTCATACAGTATATAAGTTGGGAGAATGTGCTAAAAGATAGCAACTTCCTTTCAGTAATCACTGAACTTAATCATTTGTATAGCGCTTTCTCTTGTTCAAGTATGGAAATTGTGAAGAGTAATTCGATTTCTGTCATCCTTGGAACTCGAGGTGGACAACTGACTTAATATGACCAAATTTCTTTGTAGAAGTCTGTAAAAGGCTTTTGCAAAGTTCGATTTCCCCAGTAGTTACATTGAAATTTATTTTAACAAGGTTATTCACCTGTTTATATTTGCTTTTTAAAAGTTGCATTAAGTCAATGTACTGGTTACAACATCGATGGTTCTTTGGCCTTTCTCATGAAAAAAAGAAAAAAAGAAAAAAAATTCCCGCAAATATAATAGAATTTTTGTATCTTCTCTCTCTGGCTTTAAATTCAAAAGTCGAGAAGTGCTGGGCCTTGGGAATAAGGAGACAATTGTATTTATGTGATACCCCTTCTAAGGTCGCGTGGCGCCACGTGACCTGGTCATGTGCTTGCCATTCATGAATGTATTTAACATTATTTGTACTATATTTTGTAAAGTACGAATTACCTGGCCTATTTCTTACAAATAAAGAAGATTGCAATCACACATACTCTACGTTGTGTTGTACTGATACGTGACGCATTATAGTCAAAACTAGGTTGATTTTCTGGCAGCAAAAAGGAACTTCTCGATTTTGTTAATCCAGCGAATCATACCCCTCTTATACTGAGAACTATTAAACGCGTATTTCAGTATAAACAAGCTGATGTAGTTAAGTATTTCAGCTTGTGTAGGGTCTTGGTTTTATAAAAACTTGTATTGTAGTATTACTTAAAGAATTGTCCCGTCCCGATCGAATCCTGTGGGCGTCCTCGAGTGCGACACTCTCTCTTCCAGTTAAACTGAACCCCTCCTTTGGCAACATCTCCATTCTGGATGGCAGAGGCTCTGTCAGACGTACTGCCCTTGGGCAATATCCATAAGGCCTTTTATCCTTATCATATTCAAGACATGGATATAAGGAACTGATTTTGCGATTAAACCTCTCTCGCAGACGGCCACCATTACAATTCAGACAGAGTTCCTTCCCAACCACTTCGCAAAACTCTTTCCGCATAAAATTGTCTTTGCATAATCGGTTGTTAGGCTTAATGTAAGAATGCGATGGAACACATCGGTCAATACGTGACGCATTATAGTCAAAACTAGGTTGATTTTCCCGCAGCAAAAAGTAACTTCCCGGTTTAAACTCAGGCGAAGCAACAAACTTGTAAGTAACATCATTCGAAGTCTCAGCTCTTAAACGACCAAGGAAACTAGCAGACTGTTGAAATCCTCTTCTAACAGGCGACGTTTTTTTGCTTTTTTCGTTAATCCAAGCCTCCATTTTACCAAATGATTTTGCCTCGCAGTGTTTTTCACTATAGATAAACAGATCTCGGACGCTTTTCACGTCGTCAGAGTACAGAAAATTTCCCTCTTGGATTTGTTTACTATGAATCTTGAAGAGACTGGGCATCAAAGCTTGACTTTGCTGGGTCTTGCTCATTATCTTGCTTCTTGCTATAGACCAGAGTACAAAAGTTTAGAAAAGTAAGTTCAACGAGAGCCAGTGACTCAAATTTATCGGCATGAATTGTCACTCTGAAAATACCAAATTTCGTTTTTAAATTGAATCGTTAATTTATTCATTCTCTCATGGATTTCAACACACCTGCCGAAAGATTTAAACGTCTGTTTCTTCATAAACAAAGAAAAATCAATTTGCTCAAGCAATATTTTTGCAGAAAAAAAAAACACGACTGTTAAACCTTTATAGAACGACATTATTTTAAGTTGGTATTTTACACTGGAATTAAGAGAATTGATTTATCAGAGGAAAGTATATTTGGGAGAGGAAAAGCATTAACAGTTACTATTTGTATTGTACAAACCATTTCATGAATATTCAAAAAAGTAATTCCGCTAAAAACTCGTTTTCCTTTTGAGGTAGGTATGAAATACAATTTAAAAAATCTTTCATTATTGCTGAGGGTAACGATATTGACATCTTTGGCATATGACAATCAAAGTTTCTCTTTCTACCTGACTTCAATCGTTTGGTTTTCGGTGTACGCTTACTGGTAATTTACACTTCAAATCATTAGTAAGTTATGAAAAAAATACATCACTAATGAAAACAAGATAGCACACAAGAAAAAGACATAAGAAATGAAAATACTCGCGCTTTTGTCCTTAAAGTTGGCAAGAGAGAGAAAGAGAACGGTAAAAGCGCGAATGCTCGCTACTCGCGAGGCCCTCGCGGGAAGACGCGAGGGTCGCGAGTCATAGCCAACAAAATAATAAAAAAATGTATATGTTGTAGTTAATTTTTTATCCCAGGTAATTTTTATTTTTCTTTTGTTTCAATTTCATTAGCATACATTACCATACCCAAAAACAAAAGAAAAACAAAAATTACCTGAGATGAAAAATTAACTACAACATATACATAAAAGTGACCTCATTTACGTTCGCGGTGCTCTCTTGGGTATGATCAGTGATTGCAGCAATTCATGCAGGATAAATATAACTACTCAATAAACTGAGTAAAACTAATCATTATTAAAATCTTAGTTACATTTCCAAGGGAGTGTTATAACAGTCGATTGTCTAGAAATATTAGGAACTTCTTCATCACTTTGTTTCAAAGTTTGTTGGTACTTTTTTGGCGAGGTCCGCTTTATTTCCGGCAAGACTTTAAATCCTCGAACGTTTATTTTTCGGCCGGCGCTTTTACCAGCGTGGTAAGCCTGAAAAGATTCTAACGAGAAAACGGAATCAAGCGACATAGAGCGATTTTGCCTGCAGACGTTTGTGGTGTGGTTTTCCTCAACTGAGTCATTTCGCCTTTCCCCACTCCTCGCAAGGTCAACTGAAATGTTCTCGCTTGACCTGGCATTTTGTATCGGGGCAGTCACGATGAGTTCCGAAGGCACCGAAGTAGACTTTGAAATCAGATTCGGCAGTGAATCGCTCTTTGTAACAAGGGGAAGTAGTCTTACGCGAAACTTGCTCTTATAGCGATCACTTGGAGGGCAAGCGATGTTAGGTAAACCAACTATCTCAGCCGTGGTGCCTTTACATTCGTGGGTTTTGCATGTACGACCTCCATGTAGAACTCTTTCGCTTTGTACACCATGGTCCTTCAAATCCTTTAATTTAAAATCTTCTGGGCAACTATCAAAAGCAACACCAGTATCTTGCCCTCCTTTGCAAAAGGTTTTGAATGCCGTGAACGCGTCATCAAACGAAGGAACTTTCGCTTTTTCTTTGGTTGTCGGAACATTTTTCCTCAAGTTGTAAAGCGGCGGTACCCTTTGAGGTTTTTCTCTCCTGGTTTTTATGTGAGGAATTGTCCTGGTTGAAGATGGCGTTGCAGAAATATCTCGTGCAAACTCTACACTTTTGGTAGAAAGCAGACAATTACCTAAACGTTTATCGTGTAAAACAGACCAGATTTCCTTCCAAGGACTGGGATTAAGGCTCCTCCGAGACTCTAAAATATTCAAGTCAATATCTTGGCTCTGTACCTCGCCTGATGAATTCATGCTTTCAGGTGTTCCTCTTAAACTTCGCTCTTCACTTTTCTCAGCACTACCATCGGCGGGACTCTCGTCCTGCCTTAAACCATCAGATTGCTCTTCACGACTGGAAATTAAAAAGGTTCCTTCACATCTTTATCATCTGCCGCTAGAGGCGCACTTTGGTAATTTAAAGCAGTCCCCTCTATTTGTATCTCAGGTCTGAAATCTTTCTTGTTTTTACTCAATCTCGGCCAAAGGATCGGTGAAATAACTTCTCTAGGAAGCGCATTCCTTGCGAAACGTTCCTCCGAAGTTGTTCCAGTTTTCCTGTCTTCCTGGTCCTTCTTTGACTCGATATTACGCAACGTTAAACAACTCGGCAGATCATCCATAATTCGGTCACAGTTTACAACCGTAAAAACCAAGTCCTGCTTCGTTTTCTCTCTTCTTTCAGAAAAGAATTTCCCAATCATACCCGCCCGAAACTTTCTAGACTCTCTCATCAAAGACAACTATTTAAATGCGTGAAGATATTTACTACCACTAAAAGCGTCATGTTCAATCATTCGCCGCATTTTCTACAACACAATAAAGCTACGTCAATTGGTTTATAATAAAAGTATATGCACAAAGGCAACGTGATAACAAAGTGCTTTACTAATGGGAAATGGGTACTACTATTGTATAGTTTGTGTAAGAAACACATCTCAAGGGAAGGGTTATTTATATCTCCCTGCCTACGACGCACTAATTGCTCCTTCAAGTTTCAATGCCGAGCGACAAAGATCACAGTTAACGTTGCAAGTTAAGCATCTCTGCAAAAAGAAGAGGGAAACAGGACTCAGTGACTTCAAAAGCGAAGGTAAAAATGTTAACATTCAGGACTGGAAATAACCCAATAAACAACTAATTTAAAGTAACCAAACAACCGAAGGTACAAACAAATGAACTGAACTAATAACACAACTCATAAACAAAGAAATGGCGCTAAAGAGAATAAATAGCATATCAAATTGATACTAGCACATTCCGAAGTAATCTAACACATTAACAGATCAATTACTTTTTCAATATTGTTTGATAAGCGCGAGCAGGGTGGTCGGAAATACATAACAATATGCCGCTTTCTCTCAAGTACTGTGCTTTCATTGTATTTAAATACTGAACAATAAACTTTTTGAACCTTGGAAACTACCCAAGCCAGTGGCGAAGTCATCAGTGAGTCTCGTTTAGACACTTAAAAGCTCTTTTATGAATAGAAAAAAAAAAAGAAGTGCGACACAGAATTTTTGCAACTGTGGTCTTTCCTTTCGAATGACGCTTACATATACGTCAAACTCATCGACCATGAATACAGTATTTGATGTGTAAATTGTAAATAACAAGAAAATTAAGGGCGAAACGTTAGAAATACGTGTAATGACAATAGTAAAACATATGAACTCGTATATAGTTAGGCTGGTAAAAAATTAAAATGAATAACACGACCACGCAATTAGGGATGAAACTTTGAATGAGAGCAGCCTGTGCCAGGCTCTCAGATAGTATAGTGGGGATGAAAATAAGCGAAAATACGACGCGACTGGGAAAGGGGGCGGTGGCGGCGGGACCCCAGCCCCTGCGCGTGTTTTACATTTCTTTTTACTAAACGACTTTCCACCACTATCTCGGAGCCTGGAACAGGCTAGAATGAGATCGATTACCCATGCTGCACAGAAAAAAGAAAACTAAACTGCGCTCAAGAATTTCTATTTGTCTTACTTGCTGTCCCTGCTGGTTCATTCGATAGCTGCGCTCAAGAATTTCTATTTGTCTTCAATTTCATTGTCCCGATTAACTGGTTCATTCGATAGTGACAGTCTCGAGCCTGCGTACAAGACTGGGATTGGGGAAGTTTTAAATAACTGTGATGCCTTCAAGCCCTTTGGGCTTCTACTGTAAAATGTATGCACGTTCAATTTATGAAATTAATAAGAGTGTTAGCACGTTGTCTCTTAACGCTAAATTTTCTTTATTATCATTATTAATATTTTTTATTATTATTTCGCCCCCAGCATAATGATACACTAACAAATTACAAAGACTCGTCAGAAAAAAGCAAGAAAACCCAAAGAAACCATGAGGCTTATATACAACGTGGGCCTTTTCCACTAAATTACAAAATACACTTAATATTAATTTTAACTGACCGGCGAAGGCAGAGTAACAATAATACGTAGTAATAAGGTACCGTAAAATTCCGAAAATAAGCCCCGGGGCTTACATTTTTCAAAGCCCTTTTTGACGGGCTTATTTTTGGAGGGGCTTATATTCGGAGGGGCTTATCTACGGAGGGAAATTTGCTTTTTAAATTCGACTAACCTTATATTTTGAAGGAAATTACCGTTTTTGCTTTGTTTGACTTTGTATTTGAGGGCAATTTCCAAGTTTTGGAGGGGCTTCTTTTCGGAATTTTACGGTATTAAAAAAAAAACAAAGATGAAGAAAAAAATAAATAAATAAAGACAAAGCTTACAAAGAAAAGGAAAAAAGGGAGGGGATAGATGGAAAGGAACAAGTTCAGTGAGGTGTTTCTTCAGTTTCTTCCTCAAAGTCGATACACTGAGCTTTGAAATTCTAGAGGTAACTTAAAGAAGTATGGGACTCTGTTATTCAGAAGAAAAAAGGTGAGGACAAGCTCATAATAGAAGTCAGTGGGACACTGATCGATTTCTGTCACAATTTTCCTTAAGTAGGTGTTAAGAATGGAATTTCTCGGTGTAAAGTTAGTGATTCTAGGAAAATCGAGAGGGTACTGGACTGAAATCAGAATATCAGCGTGTCCGAAACGCTTGCTACTTTTAAACGCGATATCATAGACTATATTTATTAAGAGTTGTGTGTTTGTTGTTTTTGTTGTTTTTTTGCCGGTTTTTATATTATGATACTATCAAAGCTTCAAGTGGCCTCAAGCAAAAATATAGGGCTTAATATAGGGGCGATTTTTAAAAATATAGGGCCAACATAGGGAATATGCTAAGATAATAGGGAAAATGGAAAACATAGGGATTTGTTAAACCATATTATATCCAGTACCAGTTTTGCAACTCTGCAGAAGGTAAGGAGCATAATAAATTTTAGTCCAACATTGTGAACACTTATACAGAATAAGGTCACTAACTTTGGGCAAGCAAAAAAAAAAATGTACCTAGATTAATACACACACACTGACCCTAAAGAAGTACAGTGAAAATACTGTTTTGTGTTTTGCAACCGTCCGGATTTTTTTCTACGTGCAACAGTGAAATTGGTAGGCTTACACAACTTTAACCTCCTGTTTAAACGCCTTTTTTTCGCCTTGTTTACTTTCTGGCGGGTAGCTCATACTGTGGAGCTTTTCTCACATTGTGAGGACATGAACCTGGTCTGTTTTAGACGTATTGATTTCTGGTGGTTTTTAGTGTTTCTGACAGAATTTGACCTCTTTTGAAGCGTTACCCTTGAAATTGCAACTCAATAACCCTTTAATAAAGGTTTTAGTTTCTCTAGTTTGCTCCAGAATGCATCAATGTAGAGTTGTTTTGTCCGTGAATACAATGACTCCCTGCTATGTTTTATTGCGCTGGGCCCAGTTTCAGAGATGCTTGCAGGATGTAGAATTCTCATGAAGAGTGATTCACAGATCCGCATTTAAAAGAAGGTATAATTATAGCTTCAACTCGAAGCTACACCAACCAACCAACTATGGAGAATTGTACTTAACGACTGATACCCTCCACTTTTCTGTAGTGGAGCACAATGTTATGTAATTCTTTCTTTGGTAATTACTTTTGAATTTTATAGCTTCACAGCTTGCGACTGTTCGGTTAATCATAAATGTCACTTTTGATCAGGAAAGACCGGGGTTTCAGTTCTACATGTGAACCTTATCAGTTGCAGTGTTGGCTTTGTGTTCAGTTGCATTAAAGGAGCAACTTTATAGTCTTGTGGTGAGAATGGTACAGTCGCTCTGCCAGACTGAGCTTTGACCTTGCATAGTATTACAGATACCCCATCAAATTGGAAATTCTGGCTACTTAAAAAGCAACCAATTATTGAGTGTGGAATACGATCCCCTTCCGTTTGAAAAATAAGTGCACACAAAGTTGCCGCATACTCGTTCTATAATCTGGATAATATCTGGATAAAGATCACTGCTCACAGCAGCATCAAATTCATAAGTACATTTACATGCACTAATAATAAAATTATTACCAGTGTAGTCCTGGATGGTCCGAAAAATTCACTGTCTTTGTCACAACCCACCAACAGAAGTTCATGAACTTCAGTATATTTTTATTTTCTGATGGAATTATAGGGATCATAGAGCATTTACAAACTAAATAGGGAAATATAGGCAAAGTTTTAAAACATAGGATATATGGGAAACATAGGGACACTTGAAGCCCTTTACTATAAATCAGTATTTTTCTGGTCGGTTCTTATGTTGTGTAGTTCGGAGATACTAGCAGTTAATCTACAATCCGACAAAAAATAGTTATGAGTGAATGGATGAATGAAATGACTCAGGTCTCAGGACTATTCATTGCCACAGTAATTCATCTTATGAGACACTCCTCAGAAGGGCTAAATAACCAAATTTGCAGAATAGAAGATTGCAAGACAGAAATGTAGCAATATTAGTAAAGAGGGGCTTATGCCCGGATTATATAATAAGATTATTTTCTTATAACAATACTACAGGTAAATACAATTCCCGGGGGGACACTTGGGTATTTTTTGGGTGGGCATGTGCCGCCCGGGACTCCAAATTGGCACCCCGTTCTAAAAACAAATTCCCCTAAAATTAATACCCCGTTCTGAAAATAGGCCAATTTTTTATAACCCGTTCTAGAATTCGCCCTAAAACAGATACCCCGTTCTAGAAATGGGCCAATTTTTTGTACTCCGTTCTAGAAAGTTTGTAAATTGAAATAGCCCTGTTTTTTAAAAAGATATTTCTTTATTTGTTCGACTTATACATCAAATAAATGCTTCTTCATAATCAGTAACAATTTTAAGCAGAGGACAAAGCCGTGATCCACAATTTTTTATACCCCGTTCTAGAAAACGCCTCTGAAATGGATACCCCTTTCTAAATCAGGAGCTTCAAAATCACTACCCCGTTGGGCGGCACATACCCGTATAGGTAATGTATGGGAGTACCCCCCCCGGGATACAATTTAAGAACTAGCTAGAGTTTATACCACTTGATTTGGGAATTAAACACCGGCACAGTGAGATATTTTTCTCACCACTAACTCTGGTCCAAATTAAAAGCTGAAGTAAGGAGACAGCAATCTTTAGAAACTTTTAAGAATTTAATCAGACAACATAATCTAGCTATGCTTTTTTCTATGAATGACTGCGAGAACTGATCCCTGTGTAACTCTTAGAATTTCTTTTACAATTTGTATAACAATAATATAGTTTTTTATTAGATTACATAACATAGAACTGAGCCCTGTATAACTCTTAGAATTTCTCTAACAATTTTATATAATAATAGTAAAATTTTATTAGATTTTATCATACAACAGTATAAATGTATCTAACTGCTTCTATCATGTTATCTAGCTAATCTTTTAGTTAGTATTTTAGATAGGTGTCCTAATTCAGTGGGTGACTGCTATATTTATTGCCACAGTAATAAAGTTATTATCATTATTATTTTCATGTCTCACACCTATAGATGGCCTTGTTTCCCCAAAGCAATATTATTATTGCTATTATTACTAATATTTAGATGACATTAGTAGCCCCTCATTTTCCTAAGGGATAGTAGGGTGTTTGACATACACAAGTGCATGTGAGAATTGCCAACCGTGAGGTAGGTGACATGTGGAGAGAGGAAAGAAAATGATTTTCTTGTTTGATCATTACCCTCAGGAGAAAAGACAGTTCCATACAGTGATAACAATGTATTTTCCTTTTCATTATCATGCAAATAGTTCATGCTTTTTGCCCCTCTTCATAAGATAACAAAATTACTTTCTGCTACAATGGACTTGGAAATTTATTTCCGTAAAAAAATAAGTTTTTCAAAACATTACATATGTATAAACTGATTGACAGTGTTCACGTTTTTTGTTATTTCCCATAATTTTATATTATTACTGGTATATCATTTCCACATAAATATACACGTCACTTTAAAATATTTGCTAAGTTAACACTTCACCACCATCATAAATAACTAACCCTTTTAAACATCTATTAAATTACAGCAAAACTTTCAGCCTAAATTATAAGAGAGGAATGGTGACCCACAAGGTGGAATACATCCCCATGATTAGAATATACATTGGATTTATAAATTGGGACTTTTTTCTCTAATAAATCTTTTTAACTCAGCATTATGGCACCTCAAGTGCTCGATACATTATAAATAGTTTATTCTTGGAAATTTTTATCATCATATTCGTAGTACCCCAACCATCTTAAACCAACCCCTACCCAAGAGATTGAGATGGTCATGGACCTACATTTAGTGGTATATTAATACTAACATTATACTAAAAAATCTCTCTTAATTAAGATGTACCCATAATATTGAAAAATGTATAAAACATTGTACACCCAAATTGTTAGTGGTACTAGCTGAAAAATAAAACCACTGTTAGCCTGATTTAAAACCCCTGTATTCTGCTACCCAATAACTCTGGCAAAACCAGTTGAGCATTTTAGCTCATGTGTAGTTTCAAGTCCCCTGATAGATTTCTACCCATGAGAAATTCTTACACCAAAGATTCTTGTGAATTTGATTTACGACTTCTTGGGTTTTCTGTGTTCTCGTCTACTGAGAGGGACAAACTAGTCACCTGAAAATCGCCTTCTTCAGAATTGACATCAACTGAATAAAACTTTGTTTTCTTGGCACCTCTCAGCAATGGTTTCTGCTCATCAGCACCAACAAGTTCATTACCAAGGTAGAAAACATAGTGCTGCCAAACAAGGATAATGTTGAATAGGAGTGTGACCACAGCAAGTGCCATTTTGGGAATGTTGCCTGTCAGTTGATTGATACTGTGTTCAATAAAACAGTAGATATCCATTTGTAGCAAGCTGAGCACTCCACCTCCAAAATCAAGCAGTACCCCACCAATATGAAATCCTGTGGTGGACTTACGTTTAAAATTCAGCCACACTTGAGGAGAATACTGAAAAATTAAAAGAAAATATATGTTTTAAGGGCACCATGCAAGAATGTTTCTAATTTTGGAAAGTGCTGCAAAGTTTCCAAATTTGGCAATCTGTTGTCTTTAAGTGTATGTACAGGAATATTATTGGTTCCAACATTTTTCCTTGAGAAAATGTTCACCAGTACCTAGTGTTTCCTTACTCAGCCAAAAAAGGCCACAGGCAAAATTTTGTAAGGTGTCACGCATATATTATTTTCTTTTAGCAGCGGTAAATAACCAACATATACAGTGTATGATGAAACAACTGTACATATTTGCATGAATCATCAATTTTTGTGATGGAGGCAAATAAATGGTAGATAGATATATATAAACCTAAATGACTCAGTAGAACTACATTGCCGTTTTCAATTGTCTTCTTACTTCGCTCGAAACATCACAGGGAATAGATAAAACCACTGGCTTTTCCCATTTGTTTAAAACATGGCGCTAAACATCATGCTTCTAACTGAACAATTCTTACCCAGCTGTACTGTCTTTGGAACAGCTTATCACCAGTCTTCACTCTGCGTTATATCTATATCACTACTTGAAATTTTGGCACTCAGAGTCTCAGGCTTGGAAGTTTTACAGGTAAACCATGGGCTTATATTCATAAAAATGCTTTTAAAAATCTTTAACAAATCTTTAAAAATCTTGGTATTGATCTCACAGTCTCAGTGTCTTGAATTTTCTATTCTAACCTCTTGAAGTAGAATTTGAGTAACAGGCTTTGGTTGATTTTAGTATATTCTTGCCAATGATGAGAGTAAATGACTTTGTAAGTGGCTAATCAACAGAGTTTGGCACATATTTTTCAGTAACAGGACTGGCTGATGAAAACTGACTAGTTTTTGAGTAGTCTTTTTAGGAGATTATCAAGACCTCAAAAACCATAGCCTGTTTGGTGGCACATACTCCCGGGAAAGCAATACAGTGGAACATCACCTCAGGTAACATCCCAGAGACACAGGCAAGTGTCCCCTGATTACGGGTTCGGCCAGGGTGTGTTAAAAGATTCTGCTTGTCAGCTTTCAATCTCTAGGTGTGAGTGAGTGAGTGAGTGAGTGAGTGAAAACTTTTTTTCACCCAAATATCAAATAACTTTACAATAATTAAAGTACCTGTTCTACCTAAAAGCCATGCATTAATTAATTAACAAAATATCGACAATTATATATCTAAAAACTAAACTAAGAAGAGATCACACACAATATTAAACCTAATAAGGAAAAGTTCATTTAATATGACAAGGGGGATGAGGATATTGAAACTCGAAGCTTGAAATTTTAGCAGCCCCCCTCGCTAGCAGTTCAATTTTTTAGGAGCCCCCTCCTTGGTAGTGGAAAAAAATTTCAGAGCCCCCCCCCTCCTCCTTCAATTCCTTTGCTCCCCTGAAAAAAGATCGCTAGACTGTATTAAATATATTTACCGTTATTGTCTTCAATGGTTTATACTATGACAAACTTGAGATACAGTTGTGATACAATTTTCTAAAGCATTTTTGGGATGAACAAGAGTGTAATAATTACTGAGACTACATTTGTTATATCTGTAAACCACGTGATATAGCTGAGTTGCACAGGTCATTAAATTGTTGAGTTGAAAACCATCTGATCTGTATGATGATGACATGTGTTGGTTTTGAAGTATACAAATTTTCGAGCCCCCTCCTAAGCGCAACAATTTTTTCAGAGCCCCCCTTTGGGTGTCTAAAATTTTTGGAGCCCCCCTCAATATCTTCATCCCCCGTCATATTAAATGAACTTTCCCTAATAAAACTAAAATTATGATGCTTGTGTAGATAGTATAATAACCCAATCTCAGCCTTAAATTGTTTAAAAGAATTCTCTCCTTTAAACTGGCAGGAATGGAATTCCAGAGCTTAGCACCTGCAGAAGCAAAACTATTCCTAAAATAGTTTGTTCTTGCTTTTGGTACTATTAGACTTATTACTATTATTTATTGTCCTCCTGAGACAGACAGGGGCAGCTAATAATTGGGGAAGGGGTCCTTTCATGTGCAAGCAAAATTGTTTATGACAATTAAAATCTAAAGGAGTTGAGAGTGTTAAGTAATGTCTCTGAGCTCAGTCTTTGGGAGGGAAAACTGTGCGTGCCAGGTGTACTGGTAGATAATTGTCACTCACGTGGTCAGCAGCCATGCAAATTTCTTGGAACAAGAATTTACATGAGAAAAGAGTTCATTTCCCACAAGATTTGGTACACGTTCACAAAATGGCCACCGTGACGTCATGAAATTGACGATCATGAGGCCCTAACAGCTACTTAGATAATGTATTTTATTACAAATAAGATGTTAGAAAATGGATAAAATGTTATTATGTAGTACACGAGTAACTCTGCGAATGTTGTGCCCAAACTGATTAGACATTAGACTACTCAAATTAAAACAAAAAACAAAAAACAAAAAACAAAAACAAAACAAAACAAACTCACCGTCCCAAACGAGACAACAAGCTTCACATATCCACAATACTGCAGGACCAAAAACCACGAACCGATACCAAAACACTTTAAAACAACCAGGATAAACAAGGCGACCAAGCAGCCAACACAAACCACGATAGTGCTGGAGTGTATCTTTTGTGATCCACGATCGTACATCAAGCATTGAATTCCTTGGTAAGATGTACAAATAAATGCAACAATGGCGAACACCACATCGGTGGTTTTAACGGGGTTATCTTCGCCGGAATTGTCGAAAACCAAGCCAGGGTCGAAAAATACAGTCACGTTGTAAATCAGATAGGTAATATAACTGAGAAGAAAATACGCAAGCATGTCGAAGGAAAAACCCACCACACATTTTCGTCGCCAATTTTCGTAGATCTGGGGCAAAAAAGACACTGTCCAGCAGAGAAAATATCCCCATCCGACGACATCGGCTAAAATAATAAGAATAATTTTGTTCTCCATGTTTCTTTCGACACAAGGTGGCCAATATCAATGTAAGTGTAACATGCCGTAAAATGCACGATTGTGCCTTTGCCGGCCGCGTGTTTGTCGGCATGAATGTGACGTAACAAAACAACAACCGCTTGCGCAATGGCGGTCTCCTTTGTTTATGTCTCGATAACAAAGTTTTTTTCCAACCCTTACTTGAATTTTAGCTTGACAGCAACTCGCCTTGCGAGAACAAGAACTCACCTAGAGATGGTGTTGGTTTTTAACACGTAAAACACCAAGACAAGGTGTGTTGCGTTAAATTAAGCGTGACATTTTTAGACCTCGAGATAACGTGCGTGACGTAAATTCAGTCATCACATTGTCGGGGAAGGCCATGGTATAAAAATCACCAGAGGAGATAAAACAGCAACAGCACCAAGTTAAACTCTTTCTCACTCTGGCCCTCATAAAGTGTAAGATACCCCAAGCGTTAATTTTTAACAATATTTTTCAACCAAGAATTTCAATTTCAATTTCAATGTTGACCAATTTTCCTTTATCTTTGAGGGGACTATTGTCCACAGAAAAATCCTCTAATCCATATGCAGATATGTCCTATTTACTTTTATAGAAGAAGTGCCTTTATTTACCATACATTCATTTGTACACGCATAACCTATTACATTACAACAAGGCTGGAGATCAAGCAAGTTCTGTAGAGCTTTTAGACGATCTCCGCTTTCTAAGCAGATGTAAAGAATAAAGAATGGGTGATGTGTGTCTACACAGTCCACAATGGTTACCATTTTTTGATCCAATAGACATTCTATATACCCTTGTTTTAACCTCTATCTCTAGTGGCCACCCAGGCTGTTCTAGCACTGCCAAAATAACCTCTCCACTCCACAGCTGTCACTTTAAGCAAATTAATGTTGTACAAAATGTTGTAGACTTTACCTCACTTCTTTTTGTTATAATTTTTGTCCCGAAATTTTTGGTGTCTGTTTTGTTGACAAAATTTGACTCTCTGACATGCACTCTCATGCTATGATAAACCTCTTTTTTTAAAATAAGAATGTTCTGACTTTCAAAAATAATTGGTGTCACACAATAATTATCTCTACCCAAGGTCTCTACTGTATCAAAAGATTGAATGGTCACCTCAAAACAACGGCCATTCATAATTACATAAATTTGATACCCCGTACTGAACAGGGGCACCCAACGAGAATATAGTTTAAAACCACTTAAACATAGCATTGTTGAACGTATTTTAGTATTTAAAAGGCAGATATAGGCATATTTTCATCCCCTAAAAATTTTTCATCTGTTCGGATTTCCTAGCTGAAAGTCTGGTGATCCGAAAATTATAGGGATCAAAACTTACCTTTTCGAAAATTTCAGCCAGAAAAAAGCCTCCCGAAAATTCTAGGTGACCTTTTTAGGGTAAAAATCCGTTAAAAATCGGCAATTATACCATTTTTGAGATGTTCGAAAATCCTAGGAGAGGCAGGCAAGCAAAAAATTTTACAACAAATGTTCCGAAAATTCTAGATCTCGAATCATCTTCCAAACAGATATTTTCCAAAAATTGTCGTTGGGTGCCCCTGACTGAAGCAATTCCCATGAATCATGCAAGCACAGGCTATGCATTTAAGAACCCCAAACCCTCCACAATAAATTATATTTTTTTCAACATTATTTTGAAGGTTAAAAAAGCGAAGACAATAATGAAAAGGAAGGCAAATGGTACTCTAGCTGTCAAATTAGACCAAATCAACAAAAGTTTCCTTTTGTTTTGAGATAAGTAGTTCAAGATGATTGCGAAGTTCTCAGTAAATCAGTACACTGTTTATTATTGACCAGCTGCCAGAATTAATAACCTGACCCCAGCATCCCACAGGGCAGACAAAAAAGCCCAAACACAGACACAGATAACTTGAATTAAAAGAATTAAAAGTACTTTTATAGGCATTTTCTCTGGCTTTGGACCTTACATCCATGTACAGTGTATATTGTTCAAAGCTGCAGTATGTAATGTACATGTAAGTGCAAAGAGATGTGCATTTTGATGACCGTATGTAGAAGTAGTCCTGAGACTTTTACAGTGTAAATTCATTGCGTAGTGTTATTGACACGTATTATTACTAGATAGATGTAAAAATGTTGGCCCATGAATTATTTTTCTCTTCAGTTCAAGGCCCACGTGGAGACCAGTGGAAAACAATCACATTGTCTTTTTGTTCTAGAATAAACCTGGGCCCAAATCAGGGTAAATTTTGTCATTATTTTTTGATACAAGTAAGTTTTTGTCATTGACCTGTTGTCAGATCTGTGATCAAGCCATGGCCATTTCATGTTGTGCAGCATATCTAGAAAAATTAAATGACCAGACAGAAATTAGTTTATAAATCATAAAATACAATGGATGGTTTGACTACCAGTATGTCATGGCAGTAGCTTCCTACACAAAGGGGATAAAACCGTCTACAAAATAATTAATGTGCTGGATTAATTGGCTCCTCATGTGGGAAGCTACATACACTGAGGACCTGTTACAGTAAATTCCAACAGGTGACAGGACATTAAACAGTGACATTAAGACACTCGGGTGAAACAACCACAAACAACTGCCACCAACATGGACTGAAACTGCAACAGTGATGAAGACAAGCATGAATACAATGGATAGAGACATGGCTCTCGGCTAAATAATGTGAAATGAAGGGGTTGAAAATTCAGACCAGGGACACATGTTGCCACCCTAAATGAGCCTCTACTCTGTAGGTTCTTCTATCAGATGTGAAAATTTACTTTGAAACGTTTTCTGTTGTGGTGATTTTCAAGAATGGTCCCTAGAGGGAGAAATCAATAACAACTGTTACATACCCACCCCCCACCTCTTGGAAGGCCTCTATAGTTGCTATTATCACTTCATTACCATGTACACATGACTGCTGGTAAACCCACTGGCACACTGTATTGTGTTGGACCTATTGCAGCAGAGGCTTTCATATAGTCACATCAAGTTTTTGGGCTAGTACATAGAACTTAAACTTCATCCTTTGGTCAAGACTAAGTACAGTAAGGTCACCTACAGAGCACACCTCACTTAGAAGGCTACGTATTAAAATGTATTAATATCTTTTATTTCCTCACTTACCTCCCTGTTACAAAGTGGAAGAGCTGTCTTTCTATGTCACCAAGCAGAGAGCTGGCTCCAATCCTAAACAAGTTAGGATGTGTCCACTCATCTCCGAGTTCTTCCTTCATCAAAGAAAGCCACGTCAATGCATCTTTAGAACTACGTATTCCACCAGCAGGCTTGAAGCCTACTTTGTGACCTGTTTGCTGAAAGGAAAGGCAAATTACTGGTAACCAGAAGTGATCGTGTGACAGATTCATAAAAATACATAATAATACTATACATTACTTATGAAAACCTTTCAAGGGAACATATTTACAAGGAACACATTCACTGACTTAGTACATGAAAGTGAACCATGTACTACTGTAATAAAATCTTCAAAGAAAAAACATTAAAACATCTTGTTGAGGAACAAACAAATCAAAGGGGTTTTGGTTAGCAGACAGATACCAGACTCTAAGTACATGTATTAATACAAGTCATGTGAATTATTGATACTTGAAACAATATTAAAGTATGTGTTACAGGTAAAAATTAAATAATTCTGGTTAACACCTCTTAAGCTAGATTGATTCTCAATTCCCTTTGTTGCCTGACCCTAATTATTCATGAATTAGGGCTGGGAGACAAAGGAATTGAGAATCAACCTATATTGAAAAAATTTATACTGAATTTAATTTTGGCTTGAAGTAAAATAATATACATCAAAATTGCATTACAACTGTACTTATCAAGCATTAGGTCAAGATGCAAGGTGGTTAGTCATGATACTCACCAAGTTTTTAAGGACTGAGAGCATGTGTAGTCCCATTAAAAGCTATAGAGAGCAATATCCAGGCAGGGCTGTTACTGAGGATCAGAGGCCCTTAAGGATACTCCCTATAATGGCCTATATGGGGAGGTTCCGCCTGAGAAGAGTATATTAACTGCCAAAAATGGTGCATTGAGGGGTTGGACCTCAGGACAGAGTTCCCCTGCATAAAACTTTGTTGAGTACCCCCTCCCCCCCCCCCCACCCTTTACAGGAGCCCAGGATTTCCTATGGTTAGTATAGAGTCTCCTACTAATTGCATGATAATAATACCAAACAACTTAAAACCTTAATGACACCCCTGTCCAAGACAACTGAACAAGCTTGGTCAATAAAAGAATTTTTACAATTAAAGGAATCACATACAGACCATAATTAACAGTTGTAGCTGAAATTAAGGAAGGTGAAATATACCTGATAATAATCCCTGACTGCTCGCACCATGACTAATGCAACAGGAAAAGTTGCATTAACTGCTTCTTTTCCAGTTGATGTTTTGATGAAATCTGATCCAGCCATCATGCAAACCAGACTGGCTTTGTATACATTTGTTAGAGAGCCAAGTTCACCTGAAAAAAAGAATTACCAGTATGTTAAAAGTGTAGCACTTGCACCATGGACAGACATCTCAGGCATTATTTTACTTATTTAATCAAGCACGAACAAAGAAATTGCAGTGAGGGGATTTAACAAACGTAATTTATAAATATTATACACCCACCGTACCTGTTGCAATAATAGTTTTCAAATGGGCGTCTCCACAGGCCTTTCGCATGGCTTTTACTTCATTATAAAGTGCCTCCCAGTTTCCCTCCAGTACAAATGCTCTGCTGATTACTATGTCAATTTCTGTTGCACCTGAGGCCACTGCAATTTCTATTTCCTCCAGTCTTTGCTTTATTGGGGTCTGACCTAAAATTATAATTTTTTTTTATACACAATAATTCATAATTAACACATTGAAATGAAAGTCATGAAACTTGTATTAACGGCTCAGTTTTTAATAATTCCCAGTGTGCCTACTTCTCTTGTTCTCATGGTGGGGTGTCATCATCAATAATCGCCTTTGAAGATAATCGAGAATTACATGTAACTTCTGGTCACTGCCTGGCTTTAATGAGCTGTTACAGTCCAAAATGCCATTTATACATGTCAGTCAAGTGCTTTGTGGCCTTCTCTTGTAGATGTAAAATATCAGCTTCCAAAGTTTGGGCATGTTCAGAAAGCACAATTTTGTGTAATGTAGTTTTTGGGTTTAAAAGTGACTTAGCAGTCTTGACTTTCACTTATCACTTTCTCTCCTCCATAGTCTCCTTTGCGGCCATTTTTAGGGTTGTCATGCAATTATGCTAGGAGCATTGTGTGATGACCCTGAAAAAGGCTGCAAAGGAGACTATCTCCTCTCTTGTTCTTTTGCTTTTCTTGACCCATTTTTTCTTTTGCTGGGCATTTCCTAGGCTTCATTTTGGTAGGAAAGGTTTTTGAGAAAGCTTTTAGGATCTTAGAATGAGATAGAATGAAGTGTAGGTGGGTATTGCAAAAAGATTTTTGTGGGAATTTTCCAAGTCAATGTTAGATGGTTTTTTGCCTTTTTATCTGGTCTCCACCTTGACTGAATTGTGGTCATTCTGGCTGCTTGGTTTAAAAGACCTTGTTCCACAGCACAAGTTAGATGACAAAGTTGTCCTTGACCTTTAAAACTGATGATGTCACAAGTGTTATAGAGGGGACAATGATTGGGTTAATTTAAACAGAACTGTTCATTGGAAAACCTTTGATACCTGCCCATTTGAGTACTGGTATTTCCCTTATACCAGTTCATTAGAATCAAAATGTAATTAAATACTGTTAGTCAATTTATTTTACATGTATAATGCTACACTCTACACAGAGAGGTTTTGAAAAGGTTTGTTTTCAAGCAGGTATTGTTGGCCAGAAAAGAAAGAAAACAAAAAAACAAAAACAAAAGTGAGCAAAAAAGTTCCATGGCATGTCCGTTACAAAAAGAAAATCCTCTAAATATATATTGTACATGTACTCATTACTTGTCATAGAACTTAACATAACATAACATAACATAACATACACGTTTATTCAAACTCATATATAACTACATAAATTTGAAAGGGAGAGTCTAGAGGTTAACCCTATGAATAAAACTCTCCTAAAAACAACAAACAAACAATAAAAATTACAACTTTAAAAAGGATTTGAGTTTACATTTAAAAAGTTCGAGGGTACTGGCTTCAACAACATTACTAGGTAAATTGTTCCAATAACTAATTACATTGTTAAAAAAAGAATATTTAAAACAGTTGATTCTAGATAATTTACAATAAAGCTTATATGAGTGATTTGCCCTAGTGGATTTGACTTTTGCGAATTGAAAGAATTCCTCAAAATCCAAGTGTGATAAGCCAAACTCGATCTTATAACATTCAACAAGAGAGGAATATGTCCTACGACTGGACAAAGATGGCCAATGTAACGTGTCACAACGCTCTTCATAAGACATATCACCTCTTTTTTGCCTAAGAGCCAATCTTGACACGCGTCTTTGGACGCTCTCTATTGCATGAATATCTTTGACAAGATATGGGTTCCAGACTGGAGCAGCATACTCTAGAAGTGGTCTGACCAATGTTTTGTAAAGCAATGAAAAAGTTGTTGTATTAGCTGTTCCAACAGACCGTCTTATTAGCCCTAGGACTTGGTTCGCATTATTCACCATAGTACTAATATGTTCACTCCAAGTAAGATCTTTTGATATAATAATTCCAAGATCTTTAAAGCTCTTGACATCTTTTAAGGCCGTACCTAGTTTATAATTCGTAGTCGATTTATCACGAGAATGCGTTATTCACATTACTTCACACTTTTCCTCATTGAAACGAAGTTGCCACTTTTTCGCCCATTTACCAAGATTATTCAAATCAGTTTGAAGGTATTGTTCATCGAGACTAGGGTTGCGAAGCTCTCTGTAAATCTTTGTGTCATCCGCAAATAATTTAATTTTTGAAGAGACACTATCAACGATATCATTTATATATGCTAGGAATAAAATTGGACCAAGAATAGTTCCCTGTGGGGTACCAGATATCACAGGTGCCCAATCAGAAAAAGTCCCTCTTACAACAACTCGTTGCTTTCTACACGTGAGGAAATGCCTCAACCGGTTAAGAAGTTTGCTCTCAATACCGAGGCTATATAACTTTATGAGTAGACGCTCATGAGGAACACTATCAAAAGCCTTTGCGAGATCAAGAAATACAACATCCATTGCTACAGATGATTTCCTAGATTTGGCGAAGTCATGAAAAGTAGAGAGTAATTGGGTCACAGTAGACCTACCCTGCAAAAAACCAAATTGGTTTTTGTTTATCACGTTTTGGTCTTGCCAAAATGACATTAACCTATCGCGTACAATTTTTTCGCTGATTTTGCATATCATGGATGTAAGCAAAATTGGATGATAATTCTCCCTCAAGTGTTTAGAACCTTTCTTATGAAGTGGGACAATGTCAGCTGATCTCCAGTCTTCGGGCAAATGGCCCAGCAGGAAAGATTTGTTAACCAGAAATGAGATCGAGGGTGCCAATTCGAACGCACATGATTTTAAAATTACTGATGAAATTCTATCTGGACCCGGGGACTTGTTCGTTTTAAGAGACTTAAGATGCTTTAAAATTTCCTCAGTAGTACAAGATATATAATTAAGTTTCTCACAAACTAAAGGCTCTAAAGAAGGCAAGTTGGAAAAGTCCTCAGAAGTAAAAACAGATGAAAAATAGGAATTAAAACTACTAGCAATACTGTCATTTTCAATGAGTTCTTTGTCACCAACCTTTAAAGATACCAGAGTATTCGTACCATTACATTTGCTTTTAATATAATTCCAGAAAGGCTTGGAATTACCAGAAACTGCAATATCAGAGGCCATATTGTTGATATACGTCCATCGAACTAAGTTACATTCTCTTTTCACGACATTGTTCAGTTTTCTGTACTTCTCCTTTATAAAAGGTTGCCTGATACGCACACTTTGAGGCTACACATAATTCAGGATTTACATTGATAGTATTCATTAGGGGAATGCAATTCCTAACCTGGGAATCCGATGGTACGATGTAATTGCTGGGTTTTCATCTTTCATCTGCATTTTTGGCACCAGTTTGAATTGTCTCATAATATGTGCATGTGCATCATCCTTGTTTGATCAAGGTCAACCACAATATGTAACTGATATCGAAAACACGGAGTTATTTGATTTTGGAGAGGAAATGAAATTTGGAATTGTTAGTGATTTTGTCCTTTCTCAGTATTACACTGAACTATTTTACTAGGTCAAGAAATTTGGAAGAAGGAGAATTCTAATAGCAGAAAGCACAGAAAAAATTCTGAGCTCCAGAAAAGAATTGAACTCACAACCCTTTAAGTTCTGGTTTGCATGCTCCAACCACTGAGCTACTGGAGGTTCTATGGCAAGCAGGGTCAAAATTTAGTTATAACTATACACCAGTCATAGAGGACTGTATGAGGGACTTGATTGAAATCGGCTATCCACTAGCACACAAGACCAAGACTGTAACAATAGTGAGTGTCCCGTGGGTGGTAGCACGTAATAAAATATTCACTGTTTTTGTCCTGTATCAGCTCTGTAATAGTTCGGTATATTGAAAGTCTAACATGACTCCCTGGCTTTAGAGACAAAATTGGAAATTTTGCACGACTCCATTGTCTCGCAATTCCCAGAAGAGGCTTGAGCACAAAGAAAACTAAACCTAATTTAGAAAAATGACCAGAAAGCCTCGGATTCATGTTAGAATTTTAATCTATTGAAAGTGGACCATTGAAGGAGGAAACAGGACTAAGGACTCACCCAGCACACACCCCCAACCCACCCCTTTAAGAATTGTAATTTCTACCTGCTGGGAATCCTGCGGCCACTGAAGCTACAGGAACTTTGGACTTGATATCCTTCAGAGTTTTGACTGCGTCTGGAACACGGGACGAGTAAACACAAACGGCACCCGTAGTTATCCCCTTGTCCGCCATCCCCATGCTCTCTAACAAGTCCTGTCGAACAGGATTCTGAGCTTTGAAACACAGACGCGCTACATTTGTAGCTGTGTCATCCCCTGAGAGAGTAGTGAGGTCTATGCAGGTCACTGCACGGAGAAGCCAAGCCGCTTGCCACTGCTTTTTAATTGATCGCCGGGTTTTTAACGTATCTGCGCGTCGTTTCACAGCAGGAAGATTGATTCTTGTCTTGCTTACCCATTCTAAATCCAGTGGAATACCTGGATTGCGAACCAGATGGGACGACATCTTGGACAACGTGACAGCATCGAGGATGATGGAAGAATGGGAACGAACGTTATGAGCCCACAACTGCAAATTGAATCAGTGGCTGATGCCAAACGCCAGTGGATGCTTTTTGTAAGCGAGTCCAATCTTTCCACCAAAACAGACTTAAAAAATGGCGGTTTTTGCAGTTGTGAGCAGTTTGCAGAACCACTGCTTGAGGGCAGTAGCTTGTCAACTGCCAGATCATGAAACATCACTGGACATGCTTCCAGTTGAGATAAAAACGAAGTTAGTTAACTTATTGTCCAAGCGAGGCCTTCTAACGGACTCCAACATAATGAAAGTAAGTAGCTATTGTAGGTTTAATAAACATACAGCCTAAAATTTATCAGAATTTATTAAATTAACTCCCGAACTTAGGATTGCGATCAAGACTTTTCTTTCCTTTTTGAGAGACATAAAGGTAAATAGAGAGGGTATGATTGCAGGCTAGATATGAGCTTTTAACCAGATATAACTTACATTTCTTCTTAACTATGTTGGTATTTTTGCAACAGCCTTAAAGCTTAATGAGCAAATGACGTACCAAATAAAATACTTAGGTACTTAACACCTATCATTTAATACCTATACCACACATTTGTGTGGATATTTTCTCCCCAAATTTCAGTAATCAAGAATGGTAACTTCCCATCAAGCCTGTCAACAAACTCTTTGTTTATAGAAATGATATTATAATTCCCAACTCCCCAACACCCCTCCCCCCCACCACCCACGAGACAGTTGACCAACAGACAGCTGACAAAATTTCTGATCAAATGCACTTTTTCAACCATTCATCATTGAGAGGTGAGCTGAAAGTCAGCCACCCTTTGGTGACGTGCTTGCCATAAACTGTCAGAGACGTCATTGTAAGCATTGACTTTTTTCATTCCCTAAACTGGTGATGTGCGGGAAAATGCATTGCATGGGTAGGTGCACTATGAAAAGGTACTCTCATCTATGTCAAAGCTAGCAACAACATTACCTAACTGAAAAGTATGGGATGGGTACTGCTGCTGCAATTGATTGATGTGTTATGATAATTATAACTTGGGTGACTGTTGGTAGTCTGTCAGTGATTGTTGAATTGTTGGGTGAAAGATTCTTGAGTCCCACAGTCTCACCAACAAAGTCAATTTATTTTGAAATGTTTTTATGTTTCCTAATGTAGGTATTGCACCCTTCTTTAAGAGAGCTGGAGCTGAGTGAGTGCTCTGTATCAGACAGTGGTCTCTCTTCTCTGTGCATCTGTAAAAATTTGAGGAAACTGGACTTAAATGCTACAAAGAATTCAAGAGAAAACATCACCTCTGAGGGTATATATTAGAAAAATTAAATGAGCATAATTATGTAGATCTAATCTCAGAAGTTGAAACCATGTTTGCTAAAACTCAGCTGGAAAGTCATTAGTGCTGACCTCACTATCAGTTACAGTGTCATTTCCAGGGTATTCTCCTACCCATCCGATCTCTCTTTCTTGCTTCACGCAGAAGAGTAGGGGAACAAGGTTACAGTGTATCAGCTACTGCTTCAGCAAACTGGCAAGGTCATATTGGCTGTGATTAACTGCTTATGTTATAGAGATGATTACATGTTGAAATTAAGCAGTTGGGTTCAAGGGAATTTGCAGTGCTTTATACACCTGATTGTAATACATGTAAGTAAAGGTTGTTTTGGGCATTGAGCAATTGTGCACTGGGAATCTATTGTTTTGCGGTCACTCAAGCAAATTGTTGTGAGTACCATTAATTTTTTTACCCAATTGCCAATTTCCAAAGCATAGATTGTCTGGCTCAAAAATTTTTTTTTTTTTTTTTAATAACATTTATTCAATCAACAATCAACAATCAAAAATACTTACAAACACTACAATACTTACACTACTTACAATACAATATTTAGAATACAATAGACTAAGGTACTTACTCTGTTTACAATGTAAAGACTTACAATACTCAGTACTTACAACACTACCTACTCACTACTCACACTACAATGCACTATTTACAAGCAGTTCTAATTAGTAATTGTACTTCAAAACCAATTCATTCATATCTTATCACGGTAAACGCACTTATATCTTAAGTGTCTTAAAGAGGCAGCGATTGTGAAGCAAAAGATACACCAGGTTAATGCTGGAGAAAATGAGCAGAGGATCAAGATATACAAATGTATGCAAAATCAAAGGCTTACTGAAATAAGGAGCTCACATTTTCCCATTTTTTTGGTAAAATGGGACCTGCAGTGGTCTCTATGTGGTAGAATGATTTGAGGTATTGCAGGAAGCCTGCTATCTTTGGTGAGGTTTCCTTCTTTTGCTAATCCAGATGTAATTTCTGGCTAGAAGGAAAAGGAAATTAATTTGCTGGCAGTTTTTGAAGAATCCGGCTTTAGACCAAGTACAACAAATATATCTAATGTGTAATTTTCCGGTTTAATGTGGAAGCAAAGTCAGCTTAAGAGATAAACTATGCCAGAAAAAGGCCACTTTAGGACAAGACCAAAAAAGATGAAGAAGTTTCTCCGGTTCATTATTACAAAAAGAACAATTTGGGTTGTCTTTTACGCCAATTTTTGTTAAGAAGTCGTTCGTTGATATTCGTCTATGTAAAAATTTATATTGGAATTCAATAATTCTTGTACTTTTAGTATATTTAGCGGCCAACTGGTAGGCTTCCCGCCAATTAATTGCCTCCACATCATTTTCGTTGCAGTCTTTTAGCCATTTCTGTTGATTATGGGATGGTAACTTGCATTTTGTAGAAAGCAACTTGGTGTATACAAGTTTGCTCGCACTTTGGCAAAAAATTTTAAAACAGTTTTGCTCTATTAACAAATTTCCCTAGTCTCTTGGCACCTCATTCAATCAAGGTTCCACTGTAGAACTCTTTCTTCCATTTTTCCATTTGCTCATCTCCCTTATACCTTGTTTGCCCCCCTCCCCCCCATAATTTGCAAAACCTATATACAGTCATCACAAAAGAATTTAGAGACAATGTTTATGCAAAGTTTTGGGGGGCAACCAAGGTACATTATGGGAGATGTGAAAGTGGCAAATTAATAACCTTTGATATGAAAGCAACTTCCTCTTTGTAGCTGCAAAGATGACATCCAACGACTCTCTTAATTTGTTATCATGGCATTAATTTATTATTATTCCACAGGCATCATCAAGGTATTTTCCTCTTGTCATAATCTTCAAACAGTATATCTCCGCCGTTGTGTTAATGTGACAGATGATGCAGTTGCTGCCCTCACTCAGCATTGCAGTCATTTGGAACATCTTAATTTATGTGGTTGCATCAATATAACAGATGCTTCACTTCAGCTGATTGCCCTCAACTGTGGCTCTCTACAAAGTCTAAACATCTCTAAAACGAAGGTCAGTAAAAAATATCCCTTTGTACATTTGATTTTATAGCGTTGAATATGAATTTTTGAGTATCTTCAAGACAATATGTATTATGTTCCTGACTATGCAAGCTTGGAAGGTGAAGTAAATTCCTTTGTTCTGTTTTGCACTTGCCTGCTAGACTACGAGCAGTCTTTCTTTTTCTTAGTCCATTGAGTGAAACACGTGAGACATGAAAATGACCACATGATTGTGTGACTGAAGGTGTGAGACAGGAGAGGCACTAGAGAGGTGCAGGGGAGGGAGTGGCTGCCGTCCCCGGGGGGATTACTCCCATACATTACCTATACGGGTATGTGCTGCCCAACGGGGTCATGATTTTGAAGCTCTTGATTTAGAATGGGGTATCCATTTCAGAGGCGTTTTCTAGAACGGGGTATAAAAACTTGTGGATCACGGCTTTATCTTCTGCTTAAAATTGTTGTTGATTATGAAGAAGCATTTATTTGATGTATAAGTCAAACAAATAAAGAAATATCTTTTTAAAAAAACAGGGCTATTTCAATTTACAAACTTTCTAGAACGTAATATAAAAAATTGGCCCATTTCTAGAACGGGGTATCAATTTTAGGGGAATTTTTTTTTAGAACGGGGTGCCAATTTGGAGTCCCGGGGGGCACATACCCACCCAAAAAAAAAACCAAGTGCCCCCGGGCTGCCGCCCTTGTTTCTTGCATCTCGCAGCTTTGCCGCTTGAAGCTCATGCACAAGTGTACTCCCCTCACTAAATCTGAAGAAAAAGAGACTCCTTGCAGTGTACTTGCCTGCTTGCAGATCTGCTTTGTTCCAGCAAGAAAAAACTTTCATTTGGCTATCTAATAATTCCTCTGTTGGCAAGCTTCTTTGGTAAAGATGTTCAAATATTGGGCAATATCCAGCTACCATGTTGGCCACAAAAACTTGGAATTTAGCCCAATAAAGGTGATGATAGATGTTCAAATTTCGGAGGGAGAGAAGTGATGACCGGAAATGCGTCTGCTGTTCACAGGCTACCAGTCACCATGTTGGCCAAAACATCTTGGAATTTGGCCCAATGACTGTGATGATGGCATTTTAATTTTTGGCTAGTAGGTGCTAGCCAAATTTAGTTTTTGACAACCAGAGCAACCAAAAATTTGTCAAATAGAGGGCCTCCTGTTTTTAGCTGTACAATAATGTGCACAGGGCACTGCGTACAATTTTTTTTAACACATAGCATCTGCTTTGTTTTGTTATTGTGCAGGTATCTGATGATGGCATAATGAGCCTTGCAACAGGGAAATGTCACTGCTCCATTAAAGTAAGCAATACTTGATTGAAAACCATACTCTCAATTTTTTGTTTTTTGTTTTCGCCACATTATTATGACGCATTAACAACTTAAAGAAATTCGTCAGAATAGGGCAAGAAAGCCCAAAGAAACCATGAGGCTTATATAATGTGGGCATTCCGTACTAAATTACAAAAGATACACTTAATATTAATTTAACTGAACGGTGAAGGCATAATAACAATAATACGACGGAATAAGGCGTGAAATAAAGAGATAAAGAGATAAAGAGACAAAAGACAAAGCTCATCATGTGTTGTGATATACTGGGCCTTGTCAGGATTTTTCAGTGGGGAGTGGCGGGGGGGTAGAGCTATGCCAGCAGTGGTATCAAGAAAAAGATACCTTGGAGCAATCAATTCACAACCAAGTGTTTTGAAGCTAGTTTTTTCTCTGTTTTGTAGAAGTTTTTGCAAGAATATGTTCAGTATTGAAACTGTGGATGATTACTTCATTTAATGATCATTCAAACTTGTTTTCAAGGAGTCTCATACTTTTATTTCTCATTTGTTGTGGCTTAGGCCTCTATTCAAAAGCTTCTCTCAACTCCCCTCTCAATAAGGTACCCTTGGGAAGGCGACACCTGACCTTAGACTCGTACAGTGTAAGTTATTGGTTTGATTAAGAAAGCTGACTCATTCTCTTCAAGATTTTATCAGGTGCCCACATGTACCACTTGCGAGTCGTGTGAAGATCATCGGGAATAGTAGGTATAGGTATCTTGCGGCTTCTAATCGTCTGGCTGTATCTGCCCTAGGAAGTTCAAGTTTCACACTGCATTCACATAACTGATGTCAGTATAGAATCGCTGCTTGCTCGCTGCCCTCGAATAAGAATTCTCATTTTTGACGGCTGCCCGCTGGTCACAGACAGATCCCGGCAGGCTATTGAAGAAGCTGGGCACCTAAAACAGTTATCATGGACAGTGTACTAAAATAACTCTGATCAGCCGTGAGAAAGAGTCATTTCCTTGGACGGTTGGCGAAAAATATTGCTATGACCGAGTTTACCATTTACAGTTCCTAATTGTAAGCAGTCGTCCTGGTTGTCTTGGTGGAGATTTTATCTGGAGCTGCTGAAAGTAGTATCTAATAACCAGGAGTGTATTTAGAATGACAAAGCTCTCACACTAGTTCACACTTTGGATTTGCTTCTGATAGCCTCAGAAAACGTTACTGTGAGATTGTAATGTTGGTAGCTAATGGCGAATTCTGGAAACATTTCGTTAGTATTGAAAATGTTTTCTCCTTGTTTTTAATACATGTAGTTGGATAATGCCAAAACCTTCAGAACCTCTGGCAGCAAAGACATCAAGACGGTATAAACTATTTATCAGCGACATTAGTGTTTCCTATTAGTTTTTATTGGCCTTTACTCTAGGTTATACATTTATACATCAATTGCGGTACAGCTCTCTTGAAGGTTACGCTAAACCTCTTCCCTGCAGGGTGGTCATCTCCAGATGCAGACACTGTTTCTGCTTCCCGAGAGTGGCCGCTTAAGGGAGTTCCGCCTGTGAATTTGCCTTCGTTCTTACTTTACGTACCTTTCGCAATACTGTAAGTAATTATAGTCATGCAAATGTTGTTGTTGAAACTTACCTATTCAAGGCATTTGCAAGGAAATTGTTCCGGAGTTGTTCATGACCAATGTGGTATGGTAAATGAATAGAAGAAAATAAATCTTCACCAAACCATTTATAGAATACTACTGTCTGTTCTCCACATTCTCTTCGCCCCATTCCACCATTCCTCACTTTACAGTCTTTTTACAGGGTACCTTGTTTTTAGGACGTTTCGTCTTGTACCTGTTTCCTTTTAGTGTTTTTAACAGATAATCTGTCATTAATCTTTATCACATACTTTAACATAACGAAAGAAGAATGGTGCATCCGGAAAAAACTGACTCAGGTCGCAACAAAAACAATATCTTTTTAATACGATCTTCTTCAATTGTCTCCAGATTCCTGTATCCAAAAAACCTAGTAAATACAATAACAGTACTAAAAGCATCTCGAATCAAGTGCTTATTCTGAAAATTTGAGTATAACTGTGCCTAGAGGGAAAACCCGCGTGCAGGCTCACTTCTCCGCGCCCCTTTCTTCTCACCGGCGCGCTGTTGGAACCCTTTACTATAAGAAATCAGAAACTGTGACTAGCGGACAAATTACAATCGCAATCAAAAGCTATGCTGGAATCGGTTATAATACTCTGGATCCATACGTGTGTTTACTTTAAATGCACGAAATAAGAGACATTTTTAGTACAGTTAAGCGCAATTCCACTTTATTCATCCCTGCTGTTTACAACAGGCAAATCGCCCATTTTGTAACCAAAATAGTTGCAAAATGTTGGTTAATCCATCGCCGTATTATTTTTCTCGTGGCAATTATTACAAAATACTTTAAAGATAATGCGGGATTAATCAAAAGATTATAGTGTTCGTAGGAAGTGGCTTGACAATATATATAACATCGAAAAGGTTAAACAAAACTTGAGACAGTTTTTCCGTCTCCAACACCGTTGTTGTTTGTTTGTTTGTTTGGTTTTTCTGTGCTTCAGAAAAACAAAGAAACAACAACTACAACTGACTACAGTAAGGCTTTCTTTCCCACGAACAAATTAAAATCGTGAAGAATTGTCCCTGATTCCTGTCTAACGGAATTGGCGACTTTTAATGTACGACTGTCGGCTTGCAATAGCTATCGTCACCCCAGTGACTAGCAGGTGGTAAGCGAATAACTGGCATCGTTCTTCGATAATGACTGTACTATTTGCCGATTTTAGACCGTAGGATCCGAGTAGGAAATACCCACGGAGAGCCGTCTCAATCTTCCTTTTGAACAATTCACTCACTCCATTAATGGCCCGTGTCAACCCAACTCAAGTTATGAAAAAGCGTCAGGAACAGTAATTTAGTGGGTATTGTTTGCAATTTGTGAAGTGTTCCTGGGGATTTCCGATCGAGGCAGAATTTGCGAACTCTTTGTAAATTATTGGCTGTGGCCATCAGTACCTCTGAACAGCGGTGGCAGGAAATTAACTCCATAACCCTAAGCAAAAATATTCATTTACTCAATTTTTTAAACCAAAACGCTAATAACCCACTTTTACACTGAACGGCTAACCTCTACACCTGTTATGCAAGCAAATGGCTCAAGCCAATTATCAATCTTGACGGTGCCCCTTGACTACACAGAGGAAGCCGAGAGGAAGTTCTATGAACGTCTTTGTACTTTTGTACGTTGAAGGGGGATGTGTTTGGTAAAAGAAGGGAGAAATAGTACACTTGGCAGAAGGTGGAGTGTTGACAGGCTTCAACGTGCTGTAATCTATTTTTCTTAATCTCTAATCCACTTCGCCCATTATTGATAATTGTTGACATTTAGTAGTCACAATACAGTTTTTGTACTACATTTTGATCGTTGTTAAAAACACTTCACGTGGGTCACTTTCACGATGCAATGTAATTAACAAAAAAAGAAATTTCTCCATTATCTTTGAACCGGTCAAGTGTCCACTTAGAGCTTTTAAGAAGGATTAACATGTTACTGATGTTCGCCTTATTGACGGGGCCGTAGTATATTTGTATGAATCCAGTAATTTCTATAATTCTTTTAAGTTGCACCTATAAATTGGTCACATTATGGCTTTCCTGAAGTGCTGAACAAACAGCCCAAGCTTAGGTTTTTCTTTCGTGATAACAGATCGGGAAGGATTTAATTATCATGGGGTATTGTTTTTGTTCCAGATGTTTTACCACTATCGCCTTGATCAAGTGTGAAGCGTGTCTATTCTAGAAAGCTCTAACGCAGTCAATGCTGATCTTTTCTTATCTTGTGTTGTTCCTCCAGCGAAATTATCTGCAATGAAAATTCAACTGAGAAAAAGAAGAAGCAAATTCGGTGAAAAAGAAAGGAGATCGTCTCAGCTAGATGAGGTCATATGTCAATTGGGATATCGAAATCTGTCGATATGATATCAAGAGGCCACATCCATTCCACTACTGTTGTCCACAAATCGAGCTTAGAACAAGGTTTGTTTTTAACACCGCTAAACCGTTTGGCAGATATATGAGTGACAACATTGTTTTTTGGTAGTAACTGGAAAGTTATCTCAATACTTTTTCCACTGAAGCCATTGCGTGTGTAGTCGGCATACCTCAAGCCAGGCAGTGCATTCCAACTGGCTGTATTTGTGTGACCTAAATTTCCAGAGGTCTTACTTCAACTATACAACTTTTGTCTTACTGATTTAAGAAATTCTATTGCGGGCAAAATGAAAATTCCTGAATCTTGCCGAACGACCATCAATACTGAAAGATTTTCAATAGTTCCGACAACATCCACTTTTCACCCACTTCGTTTTTTCAAAGGGTCAAGATTTTTGGTCAAATTGGAAAACGAATTTAAAGAGCTTAAGCAATTCCGTGTGAAAGAGAGCCACTCGACAATGTTGAAAAATTCATTTCCTGTTGACATGGGTAAACAGGAAAAAGATGTAATCCTCGGTTTCCTATTCTCAGGTCACGCGAAAAATAATTTCGGCAATACGAAACACATGGCAGATTAAGATAGCCGATAACTGTAAATAAACAAAATCCCCAGTCCTTTATGATTATTGTTTTTCAATAGCCTAAGCCCTTGTTCATGTTTTCTCGTGGCCGTCGCTTAATTGTCCAATTTTGAAAAACACGTTGAATATTGCCTTAGAACAACAACGCTAAATTCCCACTATGGGAGATAATGGTTAGATGTCAAGCCAGCAGTTAGACGTCTTCAAAACTCGTGCCTTAGTTACCCCCTACCAAACGCCGCGCCACGAAACCGTACCCTTCCTATATATACCGAATGCTCCTCTTACACAAGCATCTTAGTTAAATTAAGCGCAAGTTATGTGTTTGCAGCTGTCGAGATAAGCTGGACATTTAGTGGCGGTTTTGCGGAACGAAAATGTGGCACGGTGACTTTGCACCAAACTGGCCTGGGACGGTTCAGCCGCAGATGCTTCATGAAAGCTATCTAGAAGACGATGACGATTCTCATGTGAAAAGGCCAATGAATTCATTCATGATATGGGCGAAAATTATGAGACGCAAGTTTGCTGAGGAGAATCCAAAACTCCACAATGCAGAAATCAGCAAGCTTTTAGGTAAGGCATGGAATGAGTTGACGACAAAGGAGAAGCGTCCATTCGTGGAGAAGGCAGAAAGACTTCGCATTCGCCACATGAAGGAACATCCAAACTACCGTTACACACCCAAGAGGCGTTCACAAGACAGACGGCCAGCTCAGAGAACAAACTCGACGTACATCAACCCAACCTTTATCAGCAGCATTTCAAATGTTGTGATGAGTAGCCAGGTCTTTGGACTTCCCTCATCACCGGATTGGAGTAGCCCTAAGGACAGACAAATTTCCTCATCGCAGTATATCGATCGTGGTGGACAATACTATTCTGCAGGAAATGTGAACAGAAACGTCAATACCTTTAGAGACGACAATCACGCTTTCCCACCAACAAGTTTGGAAAAGGAGCGCAACAAACCTAATTTTATTGGACCAGCTTTTGCTAATCATTCACAGTTCAAAAGTGGACCATACTTTCCGTCCGACAGGCGCAATCATTTTTCTTATGAAAATGGACCAGCCGAAGGCCCGGAGCAGGATTTGTACTCAGACAATTTAACGAAAGGTGCACTATTTCGACCGTGTGCTTATCAATATGGACCAGTGAACTCATATGAAGCCGATTATTACCCTAAAGGACCTCCTTCGTCGGTTGTCAAAGGTGTGCATCCCCCAGGAAATGATGGATCTAATTTGACCGACGAACGACATATCCACAAGATGGTCAGCAGAACTAGAAGGAGTTCCTGCAGATTTGCTCAACCGCAAACTATAGAAAATCAAGACGATGAAGAAGAATCTGCTGAAGGGATGAGAGGAAGTTCAGGGAATATGTTTGGAAACTTTACAGAACTTTTATACGATGATCTCGATCGTGAAGAATTTAACATGTATCTAGCCGAGGCATACTGACTCAACTCCTTTTTAACTTCCAACAATGCTCTTATTCACAAAAATATTCCGCATTTCATTTTGCAATTCCTTTGATTTGATCGGTTACACATTTGGGTTTCATCCAAAAGTGAATTTTTTTGGATCGTATCACATTTATTAGCATAATCGTTGGACGAAAGAGACCTGTTTGTTTGTAAATTCTATTTATTGTTCTGATCTTTACAGTGGAAAGTACAACATTTATTAAAATAGGGAAAGTATACCTTAAACGTGGGTATTTTATTGCAGGATTGGGCGGACATACGGTTCTAGTTAAAGAGCAAGGTCTCTCAACGATTTAATATCATTCCACTTTGAAGGGCATTTTGTTGTAGACTTAATAATTGAGGGGTACGTAAAGTTCTTAGTTTCATGAGCATGCACACAAGAGGCTTGAAAATGTGTGAACATCGCTCTTGTGAACCGTTGATGGAGGTTTCATATTATCCGCGACTTTTCTGCAGAAAAGGTGGATTACAATGTGACGAAATGCCCATATATTGACTTTGTGTTGATGCTATATTAATAAGGCGTTGAAAAAGTCTTGGTTATCCCTTTCAGCTAATAGCTTTCTTATAGCACGGGTGTGTTGTGTAAATGATTATCAAAAGAAATAAAATAAAGAGGAACAAATGGAATACTTTTGCGTCTCAAATGTACTTTCCCTGATTGCTTTCTAAAGTCAAAAGGCTTGACATGGCAGCGGCAAACCAATCATCAAAGCGAAGAGACGAAGAAAAAAGAATAAAATAAATATATTTTTTGTGCCCGATAGTTTGGTTTGAAGCACAAACCTTCGTTGGAGGCTAATAAAATATAAAATGAACAAAATACTGTTAGTATGAATGCTATTGAAAGCGACACTTAATCCCATGGACTCATGGACTCACAACCTTTACTCTCGTGGTTATTGAAGTCTATAGAAAAGATTTGCGTTCGTCGTAATACTTTATTTTCAGTTTAGCCTAAAATACAGTGTACTCTTTTCTACGCCTAGGTAAAATGTCTCTTAAATAACGCGACAGTTTGGATCAGTGAAGTAAAAGACCCAAGGTCCTCCACGTGAAACTTAGTTGTATCAGTTTGCTTATTAAATCACTCTTCGGCTTGATCAAATTAATTAACTTTAAACGACTGATGCATGCCAGTGGGTCTTCCTCAAGAGAATGTTTGTACTTAAGGTTAAAGCAAACCTTTATTAAGTAAAAGCTCCTTATTAGAAAATGATCATTACTTTTTCTGACGCTTAAAAAAAATAGTTAAACAAATATGAGCACAATTCTTGCAATCTAGGGGTTAATGTAGTTTATTATTTCATTTTCATTCTATCCGTAGTTTGCATTTCATTCATTTCATTTCGTTGATATCTTAAGGATCAGATACTGACAGAAAAAAAACTAGACTACAAAGGGGCCGTTATTAGAAAATAGCCTTAGGGGACATGCGTTGTACAAATTCTGGTTATATATTGTAGGCGATTATGTCAAAGCCCCAAAATGAAAGTCAAAGGCACGTGGAGAGTTGCAAATGGGAGAATACTGGATTCAATAAAGCTTTCACTTGACAATTTCCATTTTTTCAAGATAAAAGTTGTTGGGTTGTTGTTGTTTTAACACGGATGGAATAGGATTAGAAACCCACTCTCAGCCAGTACCTAAACAATTTCTAGTTTTTTCATCTAATTTCATTTCAACTGTAAATGTTTAGGCTGTCTGAGAGACCAGGTTTAGTTGGGATGTGCAAAAACCTCCCTTAACCCTTACTGTCTCTAAATCTTGGATACAGTAAGAATACACCCAAAAAGCATAGCTACAAAACTCAATTTTACCAGAAAAATCAGAAAAGCAATTTTCACTTTCTCGATCACGGAAGTCATTTTTCATTATTTGTCATCCATTCCACCCCTGTAATTTAAGATCATTTTACCAAGTCGGGACACTAGTCTCGGGGAAATTTCAGTGTTCAACACAAATAATTTCGTAAGATCTAAAGCGACAAGCCATGAATCATTGAAGTAATTGTTAACAGAAAAGAAGAGGTTGAATAGCCTGGCGATGAAAAAAGTTCACATAACCGTTGAAATCTTGATTTCTCAGTGCTCAACAAGAATCCTGTCATCTTAAACAAAACAAAGGTTCTCATGTGACATTCAAACTAAGAATCCACGAGAAATGAAAGAAATAAAAAAAACCCAGCGCAGATATTCTGGTGGGATCTTTTTTCCGCATGCCATCCATGTTTTGGCTAATTTATTGTTTGGCTAATTTAAAGGCTTAATGAATATTGTTTACTTCCATCCATGTAATCCTACACATTATCACCAAACCAGACTTGTTCCTTTTTACTCAGAGGTTTAGCTGGGTATTTAACGGCAATTGGCACAAAATAGCTAGGGACAAGAAATTAGGCAAGGAAACTGTCCTTGGAAGTGTTAGTGAAGCCTTACGTCACGTGCCTTGTTGTAAAAGTTTAGTGTTAGCAGAAAAGAGGAGGTTAAATAGCTGATGAAGTACTGAGATGAATATATATAAATTTCATATGCTCTTTATATTCTTTATATTTTTAAGAATGTCCTTTACAAAAAACAGGGTTTTGCCTTCAAATCTGGACATAGGCTGAGCACGTATGTACTGACGTTGACCAGTCTGATTTGTCGTTGTTTATCAGTATGAGTAACCTTAAATCGCCATCCTCGGCGTTAAATTTTATGAACTGTTATCCACTTAATTAATCTTCACCTTGGACTGGCACCTTGTTGTGGTGACAAGGCCGTTGCCTGACCACCGCAGGCTCCCCGACTGAATGTATTCCCGAATAAGAATGCGCAAAAGTTTTGTTAAAAACCTCTTGTACCGTGATTTTTGGACCACTTAAACTGGACGATCGGAATATCTTATTTCAAACAGATTTATAGACACTGCAATGCAATGAATGCCAAAACTACAAATGATTTCTAGAGTTTATTCCATCTCTTCTTATTTCGGAATACTGTGAATCTAACGCGCCCAAATTGGAGACACTACTCAGATCGAACTTGGAATGTGGAAAGTTGTTTTTTTAGGGGAGGAATAAACCGGAGTACCGGGGAGAAATCTCTTGGATAATAAATGAGAACCTGCAAAAAACACAACCGGGCCATTGACATTGGTGCGCCATCCTTTCCCCCCTTTCTCGTAAATACTATGTTGATTACATAATCGAGACGCCTGCAAAAAAACTCATAGTGGTACTTGTAATCCTGCATGATTACTTAGAATATTTTTTATTCTACTTTGCTCTGTCGAGCCTTTTTGTCCCATCGACAAATGTAGGTTTATAATTAATGAACGTATTTTTCAATGGGAGGTTTAATATCATAACAAACAGAGTTTATAATTATCATGGTTTGGCAGGCCCTTCTTCGACATCCTCCGTTGAAGAGAGTTCATGGAGCTAAAATTGTTACGTAACTGTCTATAGTCATATCGTATTTAGGCGATACTCTTTGCCGCTCTCAACTCTTGCCAGTGGTAACGAATGCGATGTAGTACATTTTGTCTAAATTTAGGGGCATATCGCTGTTAGGAAAGAGCAACAAAATTTCGTTCAAATAATTTACTGAAGTACTTATGGGGCCCAGAGCATCGGGTCATAATTTATGCGTTTGTAAAATGTTCAGTAAATTTTATCGTTGAAGCCTTTTAGAGGAGAAAATTAAAACCACTATTGCTCTTTCAGCAGAAAATTAGTAAGTTTTTGCTTATGGTACTATTATGCAACACTGTGGTTGACGTGAAAAAGCAAACACTTTGTTGTTGTTTTTGTCTCGTGGCAGCACTGCACGCACGCGGAGCAAGATCACTCAACATTTGACTTCACAGTTTAGTGGACCGAACCGAACTGAAATACTTCAAATCAGACGTCGTCAGCTCAGTACTGTCGTTACGCGATTTGTCTCCATCGCAGCCCCTTGCGGCAAAATACTTCTAGAACAGGAAATATCCGTATACCTGTTATATGCCTATTATATGCTAGTTTTCGACAAGTCGCCCAAAGACAATTCGTTCGAAAAGTAGTGCGACAACAATATCCCTTTGTCTTTTCAAGTGGCTCTCAAATCATCACCATGATATTATATTAGTTCGGATAAAATCTCCAAGCTGTTTCTCGTTCTTACATTTTAAATCATCAATAACGTTAATATCGTTTAATGGAGGATTTGAAATCGGGACTAACAATATTCCAGCTAGCGTTCAGAGCGGGACTAGAACTGGAGGCCTCTGAGTTATAAGTTGTTCAGCGCTCTAACCTCTCGGCCACGACGCCTCCCTAAGGCTACGTGCACTGAACGGACGCAACATTGTTGGCCAACAACTCTCAACATTGTTGTCATTGTTGGATGTTACATGTTGCGTCCGCTTGCACACCCTGTTGCATGTTGTTGCGTGTTGTTGGGTGAGTTGTTGCGCAAAGTTTGAAACCAGTCAAACTTTTATCTACGTGCAGACGAAAGCATTAACTCCCAACAATGTTTGGGCGGGAATTGGAGTTGTTAGCTAACAATGTTGCGTCCGTTTGCAGGGGGCTTAAGGGAAAATTAAAGTCAAACCTCCTTATAGCAAAGAGACAGAGCCAAATGTACGCTTTACAGAGGTGTCCGTATTATAGAGGCAAGGAATATCAGGATGAAGTTCGAAATCTTTAAGAACGAGAACTGACGGTAATAGGGTCGTGTCCTAATTACAGACGGGTCTGTATCATAGACGTAGGAATTATGGAATTGTATGAAATTAAAAATCTTCAGGGCCATGTGGACTCTCCGCAGGAAGTGCAAAGGCGCGTTATAAATTTTTAATTATTATTATTATTATTAACAGGGAGGTATCCGTGTTTTGCCCATTACGAGGTCCTTAGTTTTCCGCGGTCAATTCTTGGCAAATTGTCCACAATCTATGCCCCATGCTGGCAAGAAGTCCTTGTACTTGTTTACATTGTGATTA